AGGCTGCCTTAGGAACTCCTGCCCCTTAACTTAGAGCTTTAATCTTCTTGAGGGATGGGTTCATGGGGGGGGGGGGGGAATATTAGATCCCCTTTCTCCAGCGATATTTAAGAAAGCATTGCCCAGCAAAGACTTCCCAGCTCACAAATACACCGATTCAACAGCGCGTGCGCGCACACACACACACACACACACACACACACACACACACCTCACATTAGTTCTGAGATATGCAAGGCTTACACCCTGCATCCAAGAATGGTGACCAAGTTTTTCCTTTATTCAGTTACCATATCTCCACTAAAATTATTTGGGCACTCAAAATGGCCTTTTTCCATAGTGAGAAAACACACATAGAAAATATTTATCTGCATTTTTCCCTTGAGAAATAAATTATCCATGGAAAAATCTCTCTCATTCCCCCCCCCCCCGCCAAGTGGCAAAACAGGTAGAAGTTTTTCTATGAAGAAACCAAATTCAATACTCTTTATGTCCAACCTCCACTACCTCCATCTCTACAATTTAAGGTACCAACAGACATGCAGTAAATGCTCACTCATTTAATCTGTTAAGTGAGCTTCTCCAAGTTACTTTTGACTCTCACCACTAACGCTGGGCCCACAGAAATACAACCAGCATGAGGAGCTGGTCAGAAATGCAGATTCTCAGGCCCCACCCAGCCCTCCTAAATCAGAATCTGCCCTTTAACACGATTTCCGGGGGATCTAAAAGCATATTGAAGTCAGATAAGCACTGTTTTATAATACACTTTGATTCTTTTACTATCAGTCCGGTACCTTCTATCACTCCTCAAAGATCATATCCTGCCATCAGGGACAGTTTTCCAGGGGTAGCAAGTAAAAGCTGACATTGTCGGGCACTAATTGTGTGCCAGGAGGAACAGCACACAGTAAACAGGATGAGAGCTACACAGAGAGAAAGGGCGGATCTGGGTCAAAACTCAGCCTGGCTTCTAGTCTACACTGTCACTAGACCGCTCAGCCAGGTGCTGCTTCTCCGAGGGGTGCATCCGAGGCCTGGCAATTTTGTGGGCCTGTCCCGTGCTCTGCAGGACATTTGCTGTCCCTGTCCACCACCCAGGATCCTGACAACCTAAGAAACCCCTCGCATTTCCACACACCCGTGGGCTGTGGCCCGGGGTTGCAGAAACCATTGTCTTGTGGTGTTCATGTAGTGATTTTGAGAAAGTGCTTTTCTGGGATTTGTTTCTTCCTTCCAATGTTTAAATATTTCCAAAATTCTTTGTGATTTTACAGTTTATTTTTTATTTCAACAGAAGGTTATAACTCTGGAGCGCCCCGTCCACGCAGACTGAAAATAGGGCCCTTGCCTTCCAGCCGCTGACAGTCCGATTAGGGACATACGGCCTCAGCAGTCAAGACCCTCTAAGATGAAGTTTAGAAATGACAAAAAATCAAAATAAAAAAAGGACCTCGATTCTGTTCTGGCTTTCTACCACGCATGCCCGTGAGCCTGCTGGCATTCTCTACGCCTCTGTTCCCCGGTTCTTAAAAGGCAGGTGTTGTGGAACAAAGCCTGTCAATGGACAGCCTAAAGAATGATATTTGCTTAACAAATGTTAGGCCCCCGCATCCATTACTACCTCCTCCAAATCAGTGGAGAAATAGGACAAAATGAGAGGCAGAAGGAGGTGCATAGGGAAGAGACCGCGCCAGCCCAGAGGCGCGGCCTACGCCAAAGCCTGGTGTTGGGAGTGAGCAGGCCCACGGCAGGAACCGCACAGGCCTCACAGCCTGGAGCTAAGAGAGGTGAACGTGTCGAAGTAAAAATGAGTTTGTATTTGCAGAGAATTGCCTAGGAATTTTTTTAATTTCTTCAATATCATGACTTTCAAAGAGATGGGAAAAAACAAAAAAAAAAGTAAGCCTACAGAGAGCTTGCACTTCCCACCAATGAGCATATTTGTATCTATTAACAATCAGTGTCTCAAAGAAACCTGAAGAAATAAATACATGGCAGTGCTATGGGACATATTTTAATTTTGATTTAAATTCAAACCTGTCATGTAATTTATTTCCAGCTTTACAAAATGCCTTTTAAGTCCAGACCTGGGCTAAATCGTATAGCTGATAAGTAAGTGAACATACTTGAATACTGTATATTTAGTTCTTCAATTTCATAAAGTCCACAATTTTAACATAAAAGATATATTTTTAAAAGGGATTCCAAAATATCTTAAAATGGCCAAGAAACTGTTGTTACTACTACTGAGTTAAAATAGTTTGCTTCAGCATTCTTGTCTCAGTTGCTCATTTGTAAAAGTACTATAACACCCAGCAGCAATGAATAATTAGCAAATCAATTAATTAAGGACCTAGCAACACTTCTTTTGCCACCCTCAATCACATCTTTGTTGTTAAATAAGCTTTCTTGCCTCCATAAATGTCATTAGCTCTCCATAAGTAAATAGTAATGCCCTTAAATCTAAACTGATTAAATATCAGAGAGCACATTTCAATCCACTCTTTCTGATCTAGCCAGGATATTGAAAACAAAGAGCATTATTGTCTTACTTAGCCTAGCAAATTCAACCCAACTGTACACACTTCCGAATTACGAATTAATTTCCAGGTTCACCTTTCCTCCTGATGACATTAGCCAGAATGCTATCTTTAGTTATAAGACACACACACACACTATAGAAATTAAAGAAACCACCCATTTCCTTCCCCCTAAGTTTCAGGAAGCCATGTTATTTCTGTGGACCAATTTCTATTTGCCAACTGTTCCCCAGAGCTTTTAACAGTAAATAAAATGTACTAGAAGCTATTCTTCAAATGACAGCCAAGAACACATCTCTTACTCTCTCCTCATTTCAGAGGAAAAAGAAAAAGAAAAAAAAACGGGGCGCGCGCGCGTGTGTGTGTGTGTGTGTTTAAGATATATACATCATATACATCTAGAATCTTGTTAAATCCTGAAAGATTTTATGCCCCACTGTCTCCTGAAAGGAAATGTTTGCAGAGACCTCTGGTCTCTAAAGTTAGCTGGATCCTTTGCCACACACATCTCTTATTTTGGCTCCTCTAATTATCCCTTTTAACTTAATGCTGTTTATTTTTATATCTCTTCCTATTTTCTTCCCTCATACCACATTGTTTACAACTGATTTTTGAAAAGTTTATATTCACATATATTCTCTCTTCATTTGAACTTCTCAGTGTGGTCCCCTCCCCCATTTACCATAGTTGGGGGGGGCGGGTGTTTTAGGGTTTTGTTTTTTGGTTTTTCATTTTGTTTTTTTGCTTCTTTTATCATTTTCCTTCTTCAATCTAAATAAGATGAATTATCAACATAATCTCCAACAACTTCTTAACTATGTATCCCGACTCAACATTAGGTCTTATGAAAACACAAAGAGAGATTTATCTCAACCAAAAGTCACATTCAGATTATTTCACTGTGCGAGGGGAGGTAGAGGGATTTATTTTCTCCTGATAGGATCCCAGCCAAGATACCTCATGTCACCCAGAATGTTGCCAAGGCAAGACAGAGCCCCAGAGCAATTCCCCACACTCCAGTCTTCCTTCTCTCAGTTCTTGCCCCTCACAGATACCTCCCAGAAGTCCAGATTATTTCCTTAGAGAAGCCCCAGGCTGCCTAAACCCCCGACCAGGATAAAAGCTTTAACAAGGTTTATGTAACTGACACTTATTTTCCTATTATGACCAAAACAAAAAAAAATAACCTTCCCTTCTTGCTCCTCAGATGAGACCCTTTATTTCCTGTCTGAGTCAGGTTCCTGAGCCGAAGGCCCACCCAGGGCTCTACTTCCTGCTGCTCTGCAGAATTCTTCATTTCCTGTAACCTTAGTACCAGTTTTCTCCCGGGGTCCCTGTGCGTCTTAGATTGTCACATCATTTCTTTACCTCTTGTTTACTCTTTACTCCTGACTTGACCTCCTAGACACGGCATTTTCTCCCGGATCTTTGCTCACTCACCGGCCTCACCCGTCCTTAAAACCACCTTTTCCACAGAAGTCATTCGGGAGCTCAGGCAAGTGGGAACTTGTTGATATCCTACTGACTCTGGTTTGCTCTATTACCTGCAAGGTTCTCTGTCTTTTCAAGGCCAGGAACCTCACATTTAAGTAGGGATATTTTATATATGAATTGTGCTGCTTATCAACTATGAGCCATGCCCTTGTTTCTTGGTTTTGTCTGTTTAGGTTTTTTTTTTGTTGTTGTTGCTGTTTTACACTGAGTAAGATTGCTCCTACTAGCTACCGCCCCTGACTTCCTAGGTTAGATTACTTCCTGTAGTCACTCTTTCTCATAATGCCCTGTACTTTTTGTTATAATTATGACCAGTGTAACAAATTGTTTGTCTAATTATCTGTTTAATGGTTTCCCCCCAGAAACCTATAAACTTTATGAGACCAGGAAAAAGCCAGGTAGTTCCTTCTCAAGCTGTTCTCTTTTCTTTCTATTCTGCCTTCCTCGTTTTTTGTGGCCAGCACAAACACAGGGCTTGGCACATATTAGATGATCAATGAATACTATTGTATGCACCACAAAGAAAGAAAGAAAGAGGAACTATGGAAGGTGATGGATATCTTCATTAGCATAATTGTGGTAAATATTTCACAATGCATAGATATCAAATCATCAAGTTGTATCCCTTAAATATATATACTTTTTAAATTTTTTAAACTGATTTGAGAGAGAGAAACATTGATTTGTTGTTCCAGTTATTTATGCATTCATTGGTTGATTCTTGTATGTGCCCTGACCAGGGATCAAACCTACAACCTTGGCGTATGGTGATGACACTCCAACCAACTGAGTTACCCAGTCAGGGTCTTAAATATATATACTTTTGGTCAATTATACCTCAATAAAGCTGGAAAGAAAAAAATACATGCTGAGTTGGTGAATAAATGAAGGAACAGATGAATGACACTTCCTCCTTTCTCTTATCCCCATTCTTCCCCTTTCAGTGCCACATCTAGTTCTTACCTCCAATCGTGACGGCAAGTTGACCCTGGTAGGAGGAGAGAAGCATATATCCTGCCTCTAGTTCATTATGTGGACAACATCCTTGAGGTTCTTCCTGGAACAGCATTCAGAGCGCAGTCATGGCGGTAAGACTTTGGTTTGACTAGCACAACGCATCTTTCTTTAATATTGTCCATCTCCAGACTTCTATGCCATTGCATTATATAACCTGACATCTCTGGACCCTGTGGTGACAGATGTTGACATACATACAGAAAATCCTTCTTTGAACATGAATGGAAGTTGTCAAAAGATTGCTTTTCTATACTACTTTGCAAAAGCCACTAATGTGGGGTGGGTTGCACAATAATAAATTATTCAGATCATAAATCTAAAAAACTTAGTTCATCATGATCAATACAATCTAAGTGAATTGATGTGTGGGATTCAATTTTCATAATATAATTAGTTTTGAAACATTCAAGTTAAGGAGACTAAGATAATCATGAAATGTACTGAGTCTCCTGATTTCCAAGTAGGAAGATGCTGCATTTTGGTCTTATATTAATCTAAATTATGTTCCTCTTCCACTTAAAAAAATTCATTTTTTTCCTATTAAATCATGTCTTCTGATGTTACTAAAGCCCTAGCTGTTGAAAAATATTGGAAGAATGATAGAAAGTCAGCTAAGGCCTTCTGCTGATGAATTTAAGCTATCTCATCATATGAAAATTTATTTTTTTTAGTAATTATGTCATAAGTTAACAGTTTTAAAAACTGTCCTCTTTAAACCACAGAGAACTGTTTGAAACTGATAAATTTTCTTTCCTGTTAGAAACTTCACATTATCATTCTATTCGTATGTCACACATAAGCTATGTCATTTCCTTAAAATTATTTTTGTGTTCTGCACTTGCCAAGATAGTATATTGTTTCCTATTTTTCTGTACTTGGAGAAGTAATGCTTATGTGGCTCATTAAAAGTATACTCAATGGCCCAGCTGGTGTGGCTCAGTAGTGGTTGAGTGTCGAGCCATGCACCAAGAGGTCATCAGTTCAAGTCCTGGTCAGGCACATGCCCAGGTTGTGGGCCAAATCCCCAGTGGGAGGCATGCAGAAGACAGTTAATTGATCTTCTCTCTCATTGATGTTTCTATCTCTCTGTCTCTCCCTCTTCCTTCCTCTCTTTCTAAAACCAATAAAGATCAAAATAACAATAATAATAATAGTAATAATAATAATAAAAGTATACTCAATGAATCCTTGTGGTTTAATGTAGGGTTTCTCAACAGGGGCACTATGGACACTTACACCAGATAATTCTTTGTGGTGGGGGCTGACCTGTGCATTATAGAATGTTTAGTATCATCTCTGGTCTCTGCCCACTCAACACCAGTAACACCTGCCAGTTATAACAACCAAAAGTGTCTCCAGACATTGCCAAATGTCCTCTGGGCAGCAAAATTGCCTCTGGTTGAGAACCACTGTTTTAACATATTGTCTCCTTCCACGTAAGAAGGTATTATTAAGTCATTGTTTTTATTTCTCCTTTATTCTTTATCAATAATGCTGACAGCCATTCACTATGTGCCAAGCAAGTACTTCACCTTTAGTAATAATCTCACTTAATCCTCACCACAAAACTGTGAGGTAGGTATTATCATCCTTATTTTATAGAAGGGGGAACAGAATTGAAAGGTTAAATAATTTGGAAGGATACATTTGGGGAACAATTCCAGGCCCATTTTCTTAATCTCAGTACCCAGCCAGCTAAAGATCTGTAGTCAGAATTCCCAAGTTCAGGTCCTGGGAAGATCATATAACCTTCCTGAACCCTACCTCATACCTAAAATGTTATCAGTTATAATTTACATCTCTTGGATTCAATGAAATAACGTGTAAGTGTGATCAGTTCAGCAGCCATCAGGTATTACTATATAAACAAAATTACATTAAGCTTCTGATATATTTTTACTTCAGCATTTAGCCAGAAAAGGGAAGATAATTTAAACAATATTTCTAAAGGACTAAAAATAATTGTATCTACCATTATAAAAACTAACCTCTCTGCTTTACAAGAATGAGAATTTTTAAAGAACCACATTATTAAATCTGCAGAATACTTTATAATAATACTTAACTCCCACTCTTGTCTTTTTGAATTCCTCTTCTTATAAAATAGACCCAGTGTGTTTTTTAAAAATCCTGGTCCATAAATATGTGACCATTCAATGTCATGTCCATTCCCTTCAGTGACTTCTTACAAAACCATAATTTTAAATGATGCCTCCCTTGTTCACCCTAATTAAGCATATTGGCAGCAGATAAGTATTCACTTTGCTTTCTCAGACATGGAGTACAGAGATGTGTGCATTTTTCCTTTTGGAACTTGTTTTCCTCTTGTAATGGATGAAATACTTATAAGACATTTCAAAATAAATTCTCATCAGTTTTCAATAGTGTGATACAAATGTCCCCAAAGCTCAAAGACAATCTCAGGGAACCAAGCTTGGCATTCCAACAGTCCGACTGATCTTCACCCAATAAGGCAACAAATTCCCAAGACCCCTTTGGGAATGAAGGAGCTGTTAGCTTCCTGGATGTGCCAGGTGCCTCCACCCCAGATCCACTTCTGTAAAAGAGCATCGGAATGTGAGCTCTATGGGAAGCATGAATTGTGTGTTTTGTTCATTGCCGCAAGCATCTCGGACAGTGCCTGAGCCCTAATGTGTGCTCTCACATTGGTTTGAACCTTAAGTCCACCATTTATAAGGTGTGATTTTCAGTAATTCACTTAACCTCTTTAATCCTCGGTTTTCTCATTTGTAAACTGAAATATAGGATTCACACAAATATCACTTTAAATACCACTGTTAAAGTATCAGCACTGTGCCAGGCACAGTCAGCACTCCATACATGTTTTAAATTAGTTGCCTGTGTTATTGCCTCTGCCTAGCATTTCTTCTTCCCACCCTCCTCTTCTTTATCTGGCTAGTTGCCACTCATCTTTTAGGTATCGACTTGATGTAACCTCTTCTAGGAAGATGTCTCTGAACTTCCAAGTCTGAGTTAGCTATTTTCTACTGTTTCATAGCATCTTGAGCATCTCTCCAGAGAGGGAGAGATATTTAAGGACCTTAGTAGGCCTTAGGCATTCTGATTTTGGAAGATCCCACCTATGTCTTTATAAAACATACCAAAATTTACCTCCATCCCCTGTGCCCTGGCTACTGCAGCAAAAACTTCTAATCTATAAGCATGAAACTATCAGTTCCCTTAACTGGATTCTGGGGCCTTGGTGGTCTCTGCCTCCCAGCAGCAGCTATAGATGAATTGCTCTGCAGTTCTCATAACTCCAGGGACATGCTCACCACATTTTTTTAAGATGAGGGGAATTGATTTTTATCTTTAATTTTTGCTTACAAATAGTTCATTTGTTACAAGAAAAATAACAAACTCCAAAGGGACAATGCACACATCAGTCAGTTCCCATACTGCCTTGAGTCAAAGGGTAAGAAGTATCTACCACCGGTAAGCTTAATGAGAAAAAATCTGCAAGTTGTAATTTCAAGTTAGACTATAAATAGGTCTAGCTCTACCTACTGTGGTGTTCTTCTAGAATTCAGAGTTAAATACCATCGCATTACTCTATCATATTAGTTGGGACTTTTACTGATGTAAATTACTGAAACCCAACTAAAACAAACTTACAAAAAAATGGGGAGGAATTTATTGGCTCTTGCAACTTGGAAGTCCAGGGGTGTTCTGGCTTCAGATGTGGCTGGATCAGGTTCAAGTCTTGTCATCAGCTCTCTGTTTCCAGGCTCTGCTTTCCTCTGTTATGCTGGCCTCACTCCCTCCGAGTCAAAATTTGTCTCTATGACAATGAAGGAGAAAACATGTTGAGAAACCCAAAGCAATGGCTACAGCAATAGATAATATCTTGATTTACACACGATGCTAATAAAGAAATGAGAGACCTACTCCTTTAAGGAATCCAAATTCTCCCGTTATTCAGACTCCAGGAAAATCGGCACCCCTGTCATGAGGCCTAGTCTGATCACCTCATCCCTAAGTGATCACAACTTTGTCAAAACGCTGACGCACTTGTTGTCTACAAGGTTTACTTTACAAGATGGCGTGGCACTGCTTTGTACTATTAACTTTGCATGTGTAAAATTATAGGCATATACGTTCATATGTCCAACTCAATTCTCTTTTACAACCACAATCATTTTTCTTATTATAAAAGTTATACTTACTTCAAGTGATACATGGCAGATGGAGCACTCATGTTTATCATAGATTTCTTCCAGTCCCCCCTGCCCTCTGCCCAAGTGATGGTAAAAGGATTTTACTTCAGGCATAAACACACAAGGACAAAGAGGAAGCAGAAACAACTAAACACTGGATGCTGGAAGGTCAGTGGTAACTGACTTACAGTGCTAAGGAACTGAATCAGCTTTCTTGGAGAGAAGCTCAGAAGGAGGCTGGTTTGTACTATAGAACCCCAGAGAGACTTAGGAATGAGAGGTTCCAGATACCTTTGAAAATGGAGGTGATGGGACTGAAAACGGAAGGCTTGGTTGAGTGTCCATGTAAAAGTACTTTGTCCCCCAGCCAGAGCTCTTCTCTATGCAAAGGAACAGGGCAACTTCCCCTCCCCAAACCAGCAGAAAACCAAGCTTCCTCTTTGAGGGGCCCAGGCATCAAAGTCACCAGGCCCAGTTGGGGTCAAGTATATACTATCAAGATTAAGGACGCCAGGCCCAGCTGGAGTGGGGGAGTGGTCAGTACCTACTAATCCATGTAACTCCAACTCTAACAACAGCAATAATAATGATGCCATTACAACTCTCATTTATTGAACATTCAACATACCAGCCTCTGTACTAAGCATTATGCATGCATTGTCTCTCATCTAATCCTCAAATAAATCCTATGAGGTCAGCACTATTTTGCATTTTAAACTACTTTAAAAGGGAAGTAAAATCAATGTTTATATGGTTAAGTAACTGGACAAAAAAACTCACAGCTAATAAGTGACAAAGCCCAAGTTTAGACCTGAATCACCACACTATACAACCTCATTTATCAATTAATTTATTCATGTATTCTCTCAACAAACACTTGCTATGTGGCAAATACTGATTCATCGGGATTTATAAAGATGAATATAACATATGCTCTCTATCCCCAAGAAGCTCTCAGTATAAAGAGGGCAACAAATCAATAAACAAATGTAACTGGTACACTGAACAAGAAGGTCTCCAAACTGGGGTTAGCAGCCAGCTAGTGCTCTAACTCTGTTCTGTGGACCATCTTCTTTACATGGGAAGTGGATGAAATCTTGGGCAGATTTTGTAAACTCTTTTGAGCCCTCTTAGTGTAAAGTCCCTCTGTCTCTGTTGGTCATAAGAACAGTCTGATTTTAGATCAATAATCTGAACTCATTCAAAGTCACAGGTTCTCAGGTCCCCAGGCTGGGGCTGCCTGTGCTGGGGAATAAGCAGTAGGGAAAAAGAGGCAGGGTGAGCTTTTCCTGAATCTCCCTGCCTTTTGCATCTTCTCCTCTTCTGTCCCCTCCCAATACTGTCTCTGGCTCCATCAGGGTTGACTGGGTTGGGGCTGGGGAGAAAGAAACAATAGAAGGTTTCTTAGCTATCAGTACTCTTGTGATCTGGCAGCCTTGCTCTCTAACCTTGGAGGGTGGTAGAGCTGACTGGTCCTGTGACGGGGTCTTTTGGGATCCTCAGAGGTGTCCCCATTGAAGCCTTCTGAATAGCCCCCATGACGCAGGCAGAGTCTCTCTGTCTGGTCTGGTTCCTCTCTCCGCCTGCGGCCATCCAGAGGCACAGTTCCTCTGCTAGAGTTACGGTTCTCTTCTGGCTATCTTCTTGGACAAGATTCAAAAATGGCTCCAGGATGTTTTTGCTCCTGTGAGTTTCATGTTTGGTCAGTGAGAAGCACACTCCTGTCATTCACGTGAATGAAAGTGCAGCTTATTCCCCATGAAGACCTGTCTCCGCTGGCAGGCCGGTGGCTCCAGCCCGTCTCCTGCCCTCGGTATCCTCTGGCACAGAGCCTGTGACTATCCCTTTGCCCTCAAACCACAAGGGATTTCTGCTCTTCTCTTGAATGGTCCTGTCACAGCCCTCTTGCTTGACTTGAGGGAAAAGGGAAGTCCTTCCTTCCATTCCCTCAATGTGGCCTTGGGGAAAGAACACACAGCACACACTGTCAACACTCTTGGAAGAAATCACCTCTCCCCCTCAGACCCTTCAAATCTATTGTATCCCACAGTGGCTCATGAGCTCACGAATTCAGCTTTAGAGCATCCCCTTTGCAAACCCAGCACGTGGTCTAGCATCCCACTTTGAAATATGGTAGCACTTGGCACCTGTTTTTCCTATGTCAAACTTTGAAGTCTTAGTTAGCAGCAATTAGGGCATAAAAAAAAAGTTTTGTTTTTATGACAACAAAGCATTTGACAAGTGCTGTAATAGAAATCCTTATGCAGAGAAAGACCGTACCTTTTCCTGGAGTAATAAGAAAGATTTCACTCAAGAGGTGATATTTGAACTGCTTTCCAGGAAGAAGGTATATTATATGCAAAAGCATGAAGATGTAAGTAAGGTATGCTCTGTGAAGGGTGAATTGTGGTGAGATCATAGGATGCATGCTGGACAATGATGGGAGATGAACCTCAGAAGCCAGATTATAAGGGTCCCTGTGCCATGCTAGAGAGTTTGACCTTCCTTGGAGTACAAAAGAAGCCAGTGAAAGAGATCTAATAAGGGATAGGTCGGAGCAGTTCAAATAACCTAGGAAGTTGCATGAAAGCTGAATTGGAGGGAGGAGAGACAGGACAGTAGAGCCAGTGGAAAGGGATCACAATGGAGATAGGAGGCACTTCTTGATTATTGGAACATCTCTTGACTTCTAGAACATTATGCTTATAAGACAACTCATGTTAATTTTCCACTGAGGTCATATTTTATTTTTAGAAATGCATTATGTGCTAACTATATATAAAACAGGTTAGAGTAATCCAAACACAGAACTAAGAAGTGCCCAAGAAAAAGAAAAGCTTTGGAGTCTTGTTTCTAACTGGATTCATTCTTATAAAAAGTCACTTGAGAATTATTTTATAAGTAAAAAACAACTTCGTAGATAAACAAAATCGGATATCTTCATCAACATCTCAATTCCATCCATTAATTCTTTGCTTGCAGGTCTTGTTTTACAATAGGTGATTTGGAAATAATCTTATCCCTGATGCTACTCATCCCTCCCACCTTCCCGTGCATACAGACAGGTATTATTTTCATGGAAGGTTGGAACTTGCTGTCTCCTGAAAAAAAAAAAAAAATCATAAAAATTCTGAGAGAAATAATAAGTAAACCAAATAAATCCAGGCCTGTCTGCTAGGTTCCTATTTGAAGGGTTACTCGGTACATTCCACACTTCAAGGCTAAAGAGAAAGGAGACCTTTCCTCAACATCACTGTGTCTCTCTTGTATTTCCTTCATTGGGCTCCCTATTGCCTACAGCATCAGCCTTAACCAAACATTATGATAATCTTATCTGAGTTTCCAAAAGGATTATGAGATTTTTCTTAATTAAACAATAAGCACATTTCAAAACTCAAACCTCACTAGAGCACACAACCTTCTTGTCAAACAGTCTCTAACCGTCCTTCTCACCGCACATGACTGTAGATCTGTATCAACCACAAACCCATTGGTCACGTGACCAAAATACCCCTAGAGAGGGTCACTCAAGTCTACTTCTCTTCCATAGGAAGATCCCATGACTAGGCTTAAATTCTGCCTTCATGACACCCACACCTTCCCTGGGCTCCCCGAAGGCCAGTCGGTGTCACCTCCATCTCAGCATCTCCAGAGCCCCACATCAGGCCAGTGCAGGCCGCCAGTGAATGTCAACTGAATTGTTTACTTGAATTTTAAGCAAGGCTAGCCAGACCTCGTAGAAATCATGTCATCAACGTTTTGAAGATTTTTTTGGAGGGGGGGGGGGGGGTTGGTCACAATCAGCCATTGTTTTATCGCTTTTACATTGAGAATTAAATCAAGGAAGGATCATTCACAGAAGTGGAGCTTCAGTGGTTTAAGGCCATTTATGTCTCTGACCTGCTTTGGTCTTCTACTGAGCAACTACGCCTTTAGCTTTAAATGAGGAAAGAGCAGCCCTGGCTGGTTGGGCTCAGAGGTTGGAGCCTCGGCCTGCAGTCCAGAGAGACCCAGGTTCGGTTCCCGCTAGGGGCAAGTACCTCGGTGGCAGTTTGTCCCTGGCCTTGGTTGGGTCATGCAGAAGGTGGTCACTCGATGTGTCCCTTTCATGTCGATGTTTCTATCTCTCTCTCTCTCTCTTCCTCTCCCTCCCTCCCACTCTATCTGAACAACAACAAAGAGACAAAAATAAAATAAAAATAAATGAGGAAAGAGCAAAGAAGAGGGGGAAGGTTATTGAGTCAGCTTTCAGAAGAGGAAAGAAACACCACCTTTGTCATAAATTACAGGAAATATTTCTTGAGCCTACTAATTTAGGTGCAACTACAGGATCAATTAAATTATTCGGGAAGCTCTGCTTTGGTGCGGACACCGGTGAAGGGCATGGAAGCCATAACTTCTCACTTGCTTAGACTGATTTTTTTTTAAAAAGAGGTCTAAACTCTCTAAATAAGACTCCAATACACCATTTGTCACTTAAAGGCAGAACAAATTGTTGTTCATAATGTATTGAAAATATTCGTTTTAATGTATATGTTAATTTTAGAAAAAAATGTATGCTAGAGTAGGGTTTAGTTTTATGTTTCACATAATTCCAGGCATCCTTTTTTAATCAGTATGCTTA